GTCGTGGAGGCTACATCCCTGCAACTCTTCAAGAAACGCTTGGATGATTATTTGTGTCCCCTGTTTTCCCTCGACGGTCTGAATCTGAACTAATACCCCTGGTCCCCACAAATATTTCCTCTGAGACAATGCTACTCAAATTAATCAAGTACTGTTTTTATAGTGAATATTTTTTTTCGTGTACAGTTATTTCTAACGAGCTGACATGTAATCAATAGGGTTTTCAAAGGCTTTGCCTATTATCCTTACCAAATAAACTGAATAAACTGAACTGAGATACCTTGATAGACGAAAGACTCCCGTATAAGAAATCACCAATCCCGAACTTCCTTTCAACTAAACTAAAAAAGCTACAAAAACAGCTACGCGACCCCTCTGTGAGTTATTTTTCCACACTTCGACGAATTAGGGAAATTCACGACCTAGTCACGAAAATGGAAACACAAAAGACCATAGCAGCAGAACATCGGGCACTAGAATCCCCCGAACGAACAGCTCAGATGTTTCAGAAACTAATGAGTAATCATCGACAGTCAGGACCACGAACTATTATTAATGAATTAGTGCAAGTTATAACCAATGATAAACAAATAGTAAACTTATTCAACACATACTTCTCAGCTAACTACACAGTCGAAGAGGGAACCATCCCCCAAGCGACCGAGATGACTGAACGCATCCTTAGTGAGATCCATTTCAGTGAAGAAACTGTTAAAGTAGCCATCAAACAACTATCAAATACCAAATCCTATGGGACAGACAAAATCCCACCATGTATTCTGAAGCATATGACATATGCTCCAATACTCCTATCTAAGTTATTCACCCTACTCCAGTCAAATGCAATTTTTCCGGACATGTGGAAATACTGGACCATTGCGCCCATATTTAAAAGCGGCAACCGATCTCATACCAAAAACTATCGTGGTGTTCACCGAACACCGGCTATAGCTAAAATCATCGAGAAAATAGTTTATAACTAATTGCTAGACCATCTAATGAACGCCAACCTCATTCCCTCCTCTCAACATGCATTTTTGCCCAAAAAGTCATGTCAGTCCTGCCACCTTACTTTTTTGGAATTCGTTTCCAGCAATAGAGATGATGGAAACACAGTAGCTTCAATATACTTCGATCTAAGAAAGGCCTTTGACAAAGTCCCCCATAAAAGACTACTGATAAAGCTAAAAAGTCATGGAATTAGGCCACCCCTTCTCGATTTTCTTAAATCTTATCTTCAAAACCGATACCAGGTGGTGCAAATTCGAAACGTCGTTTCAGAACCATCCCCTATTACTAGTGGAGTACTTCAAGGCACTATCCTAGGCCCCCTTCTATTTCTTATATATATTCACGACTTATCGTCCATATCTGTCTCAGCTAAGACGTTTTTATATGCGGACGACCTTAAAATTGCATATGCATATAACGGGACTACAGTAGCCAATATTCATAGAACAATTGAAACTGATCTCATAAAACTCAGCGAATGGAGTAGTCAGTGGCAGATGCCCTTTTCACCCGAAAAATGCCATCTCCTGATATTTGGCCCACAAAAACTTCCCCCCATAATATTCGAGGATGATGAAATAACAGAGACCCAATCTGTAAAAGATTTAGGTCTCAGCTATACAAATACCCTTGATTTATCTCCCCACGTCCAACAAATATCACCGAAAGCCACTCGCCTGTGTGGATTCATATGTAAAAATTTCACCTTAAATGCACTAAGAATACAACTGTTCAAAATGTATGTTTTTCCTCTCCTAGATTACTGTTCAATTTTCTTCGGCATAATGCCCTCAGACGGCCGAAAGAAACTAGAAGGCATTCAGAGATGGTTTACTAGATCTTTGTCTAGAAGTGATGGCATCCAGGGTTCATACTTAGAACCATATCATAAATACGGTCTTCGACCACTCTGGATCAGAAGACTTCAAAATGGTCTAAACTTCTTATTCAAGGTCACCCACGATCAAGATATTCTCAAAATGAATTTACTTACCAACCAAAACGCCCCTAGAAACACCAGAAACAGCGAGGATATTATAAAGATTCCCAAATTTACAAAGTCCCAACGATCAAATTTCTACACCATAAGATATGCGACTATCTGGAATTCTCTTCCAGGTTATATCCGGAAAAGTCGAACCCTAATCGAATTTAAAATAAAAACTAAGAAATTCCTTTCAAATAACAATACACATT